CGTACGGGGAGCTGCGGAGGGCTCCCTGGTACAAGGCGAGGAGGGTGCGCTCATCGGCCCCCTCGACCTCCTCGGTCTCCCTCGTCCACCGGTCGATGAATGACCGGAGGGACTCCTCGTGCTGCTGTTTGACGGAGAGGAGGTGGGTGAAATACTTCTTGGCGCGCTTCCTCCCGGCAAAGTGAGTGAGGAAGCGCTGGGCGAGATCTTGCCATGAGTCAACGCTTCCCTCTGGCAGCCCGTTGAACCACTCGTACGCTGGCCCCTCGAGAGTAGAGAGGAACCAACGGCAGAGGTATTCGTCGGACGCGTTCACCATCAGCATGTTGTTTTGATAACGGCTGAAGTGCTCCTGGGGGTCTGATCGGCCATCGTAGGACTTGATGGCGTTCCCCCTGTACTTCTCAGGGATGGGGGCCGAGAGGACCCTGTTGGTGAAAGGGGTCCTGGTCCTGACCTGGACGATGGGGTCACCCCGCCCTTCGGCCAGCTCCCTCTCCAGGGCGCTGACTTTGTTCATGAGCGCGTTGAGGCCGGGGTCGTTGGAGGCGCCGGCCGTAGGGACGTTGGCCGACTGCTTGGCCTCCATCTGAGCCAACCTCCTTTCCAGCTGGGCGATGACCTCGTCCCGGGGGTCCCCGTCGGCCGCGACGGCACCCGGCTGGTTCCTCCGGCGCTCGTTGTGAGCCGCGTTGATCTGGTGACGCACGTCATCCTCGTGCAACTTCCCCTTGCCCTTGTCCGGGCGGGGCTGGTCCGCTGTCCGGGACACAGACCCCAAACTCTCCCTTGGCGAGCCAGGACGAGGATCACCAATCCGTCCCGCCATCCTCTCCGAAACCGGACGACGGCGCGTGTCACCTAGCCTATTGAAGGCAGAGGCTTTTCCACGCGCTGGGGTCTGCCCGGGCCGAAGAGGGGAAGCAGGGTGTGAGTGGGACGACGCCGTGTCCTGGGCCACAACCCCCTCATTATTGCCTATCTGGTCGGCCAGGGGTTGGGGATGAGGAGGTGGAGTGACGTTTCCCCCGGTCCTTGACAAGAGTGCGCTGAGGACGGTGGGATTCTGAGCCAAGCTGGCGATGATAGCCGATAGTGCGGCCTGGACCTGAGGGTCTACGGACGGAGAGGCCGCGGCCATAGGCTGGGCCGGAGCGTGGTCCGCTTTCTCAGCTCGTTTCTTTTCCAGGCCGAGGCGAACGTCGGGGACTCCGCCGTTGAGTTGGTTGCGGAGGTCCGTCGTGAGGTTGAAGGCTTCCTGGAAGAGGTCCCCTCCGCCGACCTGGTCGGCCGTGGCGTCCTCATCGTGCTCCCTGGGCTCTTGGTCCTCAGGGATGGCTTTGCTGACGAGGTTGCGGTTTGACTTAGTTCTCCCCATGATCAGTGGTTAGCTGTGCTTGGTAGCGACGAAGGGTGCTAACTTGATTGTTCTAGCTCTCAACGAGAGCACCAAATGATAGAGTATATCTCCTGAATTCTAGAGAGAAGTGAGAGCTAGAGAGAGAAGTGCAATAATATGCTTCAATAGAATGAATTTGTAACACCTATAACTACTCCCAAGGGGAGTATTTATAGAGAAAATTAGGGTTGGGCTCCCAAGCCTTGGGCTTGGGAGGCCCATTTACAACTGGACCGCTACTGGGCCGAATACAAAGCCACTAATGGGCTGTACAAGTGAGTAAGTGTAGGATCCGATTCTGGGAGGTCCTCGTGGCCGACGAGGTCGTGGCCGACGAGGGCACGACCGATGAGGGCACGGCCGACGGGGGCACCCGGGTTCCTTGGACTCGGGATCATAATCCGGGTTGGCTTCCTCTCGGCCGACGGGGGCGTCTTGGCCGACGAGGGCGCCACTATGTTGTCTTGTGCTTTCTGTTCTTCCGAGTATGTGGGTCCTGGGGCTCAGACCCATATACTCCATCAGGTGGGTATTTAGTTATTTACTATTTTTATTTATTATGATGAGTTTTTGTCACTTTTGGTGCTCTGACTATTATGTTGTTGACACTTGGTATTCAAATTTAATTTTCTTCACTTTTAGTTCTCGACTATTGTATTAGAGACACATTTGGTACCCGTTTTTTAAAATTTTCATATTTAGTCCTTTGACTTTAATAGAACTGACACTTTTGGTTCATCAACTATTAAAATAGTGACATTTTTAGCCCCCACTTATTGTGTCAATATCATAGTGGAATGATTAAAAGTGTGAATTTAATAATAATCAGGGAACTAAATGCGAGAAATTGTGAAGTCGAGAACTAAAAGTGTCTCTAGCACAATAATCGAGAACAAAAAATGAAAAAATTAAAAGTTGACTACCAAAAGTGTAATTGACATAATAGTCGTGGAGAAAAAATAGAAAGAACTCTTATTACGACTATATCCTACTCCCTCCGTCCTGAAAAGGTTGACCAAATTTCCTTTTTTGGATGTCTCAAAAAAATTTGTCATTTCCATTTAAAGTAAGGAATATGTGGCTAAAATTAATTCTCTCTTCTCTGCATAAATTTCAACCACACAGTTTTTACTTTATTAATCCACGTGAAAGTCAACTTTGTCCAACCTTTTTAAGGCTATAATTATACGAAGTAGGAAGTATATCTTTATACTCCGTATTATATAAAGCAATTGGGTGACCAATTGATTTTGCAATTTCCCTCCTCAAGCAATTGCAGTGCGCAATTGATTTTGAAATTTTGCAATTGAGTTGTTTGGTCTATCGAGACACACAATTAATTCAATTAAAAGTCATTTATTATTCATATGGTCATTCATTTTATATTATATACACATGTGTATTAACCATTAGTAGTATTACAGTAGTAATATATACTACCTCCGTGGAAAGGTTCTCATCTTTATATTATATCTTTATATTTATATTGTATAGAGCAATTGGGTGGCCAATTGATTTTGCAATCTTCCTACCTAAAGCAATTGGGGTGAGCAATTCATTTTGCAATTTTGCAATTCAATTGTTTGAATTGATCTATCAAGACACAAAATTAATCTTTAAACTATGTATTATATAGAGCAATTGGGTCATTTGGATGGCCAATTGATTTTTGCAAGTTTGTAACATCATCTCCAATCATCTGCAATATTATTATTGTTGGAGATGACACTTTGTATTATATAAAGCAATTGTGTGGCCAATTGATTTTGCAATTTTCCCTCCTAAAGCAATTGCGGTGCTCAATTGATTTTGCAATTTTGCAATTGAGTTGTTTGGTCCATCATGACAGACAATTAATCCAATTAAAAGCCATTTATTATTCATACAGCAATGTATTTCATACGTAGTATTATTTACATATGTCTAGGAGCCAAATAACCATTAGTAATAATATTATAATAGTAATATATACTATATCTTTATATTTAAATCCTTATGTGCCTAGCGGGTTTCAAACTCGAGACCTACCATAGGCACGGTAACCTCACAACCAGCTCGGCCGGAATGCGAATTGGTTACTTTGTATTATATCTTTATCTTTATCTTTATATTATATAGAGTAATTGAGTGGCCAATTGATTTTGCAATCTTCCCGCCTAAAGCAATTGGGGTGGACAATTAATTTTGCAATTTTGCAATTCAATTGTTTAGTCTTTCCAACACAGAATTAATCTTTATATTATATAGAACAATTGGGTCATTTGGGTGGTCAATTGATTTTGCAAGTTTGTAACATCATCTGCAATCATCTCGAATATTATTATTATTGGAGATGACATCTTTGTATTATATAAAGCAATTGGGTGGCCAATTGATTTTTGAAATTTTCCCTCCTAAAGCAATTGTGGTGCTCAATTGATTTTGCAATTGAATTGTTTGGTCTATCCAGACACACAATTAATTCAATTAAAAGTCATTTATTATTCATACGACCATGTATTTATATTATTATATACATATGTGTAGGAGCCAAATAACCATTAGTGATATTATAATAGTAATATATACTACCTCCGTCTATGGAAAGGTTCTCATCCTTATATTATATCTTTATCTTTATATTATATAGAGCAATTGGGTGCCATTTGATTTTGCAATCTTCCCGCCTAAAGCAATTGGGGTGGACAATTGATTTTGGAATTCTTGAATTCAATTGTTTAGTCTATCCAGACGCATAATTAATCTTTATATTATCTAGAACAATTTGGTCATTTTGGTGGTCAATTGATTTTGCAAGTTTGTAACATCATCTCCGATCATCTCCAATATTATTATTGTTGGAGATGACATTGGAGATGATGTTGATGACACCAAATTTCAATCCGAAGAAAACGACAGACATAACAATTTATTTTGTAATTTTGTAATGGAGTTGTTTGACCTATCCAGATACGCACTTAAAAGTCATTTACTATTCATACGACCATATATAGTATTTTCGTTCTTAAATAATTGTAACACTAAAAATTTAACACTATTCACGTGCTCTACTATTATTATGTTTTATTTTATTAATGTATTAATAATTTATTTTAAAAAAATACTTTGTATAATTAAATTCCCCTCATTCTAAATTTTCAAAAAGGTGATTTTCGTGGTTTAATCAGTTTTTTAGATAAAGTAAGAAATTGTAATATTTTTTTCATAACATGATTATTGATTTAATAACACTTCTAGTATGAAATAAGTTTGTAACAAAATAATCAATCAATGTCTTTTTATCTCATTAATGTTTATTAAGTATTCCCGTGGAATGCACGGGTTCATCCTCTAGTCTAGATGAATGACGTGTATGGCTGTATATATAACTGTTATATTCACGAACAAAAAGAAGTGATATCTCAATCAAAAATGATGTTTATACACACTCTTATACACACTTTTGTACACACATATGTCTGTGAAAATTTTTTTTGTCTGTGAACATCGATTCACAGACAATGTTTTGCACAAACAAATATTGTCTATGAATCGGGTTCACAGACAAAAAAAAGCTTCACAAACATCGTGTAAAAGGTGTGTACAAATATGTGTACGGCATACTTGTATCTCAATAGGACGTTAACAGTGCGAGAGGAGATCAATGAGTTGAAGTATCATTCTGGGAGCCCGGAGTAAATCAGTGGGAGTTTCACAAAACCCGGAAAAAGAAGGTCAACAACTCAATACTGGAAAAGGTGCCAGTGATTGAATCATGGATCCCAATTTCCAGACCACCGTCCGTAGTCGTAGCTTGCGTAGCTTCGTGACGAGAGAGCGCCTCTTTTCCGCCTCCTCTAATATATATATAAGCCCACTGCCCGCCGTTTCTTTGTCTGAACGAATTCCGCCTAGCTTATTTATCAGATTGAGTGCAAACTAGTTTTTGATCGGAGTTCACAGTTTCGTCAGTGAATGGCGGCGAAGGGGAAGCACGGACGGTGGCAGCTGAGGAGAACGTCTCCATCCTGGCCGACGGTCTTTACCGCGCTGATAATGGTTGCGTTTTTCGTTTTAATTCTCATCACTTTGAGAATTCTCTCGGCTTCAAGGGATTCTCAGGAAGTTCTCAATCTCAGATCAATCGCGCGCACGGTCTTGGAAAGGTAGGTACTTCCGGCTATTGGTATGATCGCTCTACTTACTGAAATACGACGCTGATGTGGTTGTTTTTATTTGAAATTGTGTGATCAAGAGACGTTAACAGTGCAAAAGGAGATCAATGGGTTGAAGTGATATCCTGGGAGCCTAGGGCCTTTATCTATCACAATTTCTTGGTATGTAAGGAGTATTTTTTTCCCCCAATTTTTCTTCTTTTGACCTTATTTGATTGATGTGTTTATTTTTCTCTTTGAAAATGATTGGTATGGAAACTGTATCCTCACAATTCACAAATTCGAACTTCTCTCAAACATGTAACTGTATTTCATCTTTCCTAACCCCTGACCTAATCCCATCCCCAGAGGCCTGAACCCAGTTTCATATGCAAATCATTGTTTTTCATAAAACATTAAAAAGTTCACCCAAGATTAAACACAACCACCTTAATAAGCACAAATTGCATAAGAAACTATCAGTCTCTAAAATTTGTTAACCAATCTCGACAGATACCCCTTTTGCTCTGATATGTACCCTGGATTAATATATTACTACTATAGTACTCCATCTGATAACCACTCCAGACAGATACCTCTTTTGCTCTGACCTGTACCCTGAATCAATGTGTATGGAGTAGTATATAGTACTCCATCTGTTTCATACGGAGTATTAGATATTAGGTGCCGTTTTTGTTAAGAAAAAAAATTCCATGATGATGTCATTTATAAAATCAGGAAATATTTTATTATCAATTTTGACCTATCTTCTCCATCTTGTATACGGAGTATCATTTAAAGTAACTTATAGTATGTCAGGAAGCTGAATTAATAAGGGCGTGTTTGGTTCAAGGGAGGGGATTGGAGTGATTTTGTGTTGCTGTGTTGGGGGGTTGGGAGAAGAGGGGAGAAGAGGTTCTTAATGTGTTTTGCGCCCCCCATAAAACCTCAGTTTGTAGGGAGAGGAAAATAAGTGCAGGCGAGGAAGAAGTCTTTGGCTTTATTGGCTTCTCCCCCTTGAAAATTTATTAACCAAATTAGAAGAAGTTGAGCATTTTCCCTCCTTTGCCCTCTCATACCTCCACCCAGTTTGGAACTAGGAGAACATATATCTATTTTTTTGCATATGGGTGGTATATGTAATTTTAATATTATATTAATATTTATCTTATCCATTTTATCTTACCTTACATTTATATTTTCTTTCTTATCTTTCTTCGCTTTTTGGTTCTCATATCATGGATCGATTCATGTTAGCCGACCCAAAATCTTTTGGGAATAAGGCTTGGATGTTGCTGCTGTTGTTGGGATATGTAATGTGGATAATGTGACCCCATAAATTGTACGTAGTATGTTTCATTTATGAACTAGTCAAAATTGTATCCTTGATATCTTGCTCGGCACATTTAGTTTTTTCTTTTAATTTCGTTTAATTCTTCCACAACGTTTTTGGGTGGGTACCTTTTAGTTCACTACATACCATAAAAGTCTTGATAATTACTATTAGTGTGTAAAGTGAAATTGATAGTAGTTTCGTGCCTTCCGTAAACGCAGGGCCGATCCTAGCATTTTTTTGGGTTGAGTCAAATTTTATAAAAGGGCCCTTAGATACCATTCAAAGTAAATATTACGGAGTAAAACATAAACATTTTATTATGTAGTATAATGAAGTAAATGTCAAACCGCTTAATTAAAGACACATATCTATCTCACGGTTTATTACTACGTACTACGTATATATTACCTCCGATATGAGGTAAAGGTCAATGTAAATTATTCTTAATCTTTTACTTTATATATTCAACTTTTATCGATCAAAAAATTACAGAAGTGAGATGGGTCACTTAGGCGATGGCGGTTACACGGGCTCTGGGACTTAGGGTTGATATATATGTCATGTAGGTTATTACCTATTTGGCTCAAATAAGAAAATCAGTAATACTAGCAAGACTTACTATTTGGCATATGGAATTATGGAAACACGGGTCACTACTTGAAATTCTTGAGACATACTCCGTATTTATACATGTACTATACACATATATATAAGGGTGGCTAGAATATTTATGGGCCCTAGTTTTTTTCCAATTTTGTGGGGCCTGAGGCTATTGCCTCTTTGCCTCATATGAAGGTTCGGCCCTGCGTAAACGCATAATACAATTGCTTATTGCTCTGTGCCTGGTTTACCGATAAGGAGTATTTGAGAGTTAAGATGGCTAACCAGGATCCACAGGGTATAAAGAAGAGCAGAATTTATATTGCCTCATAGAGTGAGTGACATTTGCAAGTGTGCTGTGCTGTTTTGGGGGGTTGGACTAGGGGAAGTGCTGCATGCTTGCATTAATAAGATACTACCTCCGTCCTGCTAGAAGGTTCCCATAGCAAAACGACACGGTTATTTAGGTGGTAATTAAATAAAGTACTTCGAGTATATTTTGAGAAATAATTTTAATAGGTATATATTATAATGTGTTAGTATTGATAACTGTGATGTTATAAATGTACTATTTGTAATATTTAATGACTAATTTGTCACTTAAGATTGTTAATTGCTTCCTAAAATGGAAATGGGAACCTTCTAACGGGACGTCCAAAAAAGGAAAGTGGGAACTTTCTAACGGGACGGAGGGAGTAACTAAGAATGACCTTGAACTCAAGTCTGGTCAATATTTTTCAAATTAGAGATGTGCTGAACGAAAAATTCAAAGGAAGTATTTCAAACAATGCCTCCAGAGTGCAACTTCCAGGCCTAAGAAAACCTTAAGAAAGCATCCACAGAAATTTTGGTCTGAGATAAGAGGGATGCAAAAGTAGGACGGTCTTCAGGAAAGGGAAAGGTCAAGACATATGGTGTTTTTTACTCTTTTATTATGTTTCTTCAGTGTTTGAAGTTTGAACTGTCATATAAAGTATTAGACAAGGGCATGGTGAGCATGGAAGTAATTTCATTTATACATTTGGATGAGAATTGACGGCTATAAATTGCTAAATTTGGATGTGAAGAAAAGGTTAATTCATAAGGCTATGAAAAGGGCAAAAGGGGTTAAGGACTTATTGCAGAAAGTTGTTGATGACTTTAGTGGGTTGTCTAGCAATTTCCTCTACAATATTCCGAAGACGTGTCTGAAAATACAATGGTATCTTTAGTTGTATAGCTAGCTTATTTGGGAGGTGGGTGTAAGTTCATTTCTTATGCCTAATCTATTGAATGCTTCCCCAGCTGGTTTTTAAAAGAAAACAGATTTTAACATGTTTCCTTTCTCAGTCAAAGGATGAATGCGAATATCTAATTAATCGTGCCAAGCCCTATATGGAAAAATCAACAGTTGTTGACAATGAAACTGGGAAGAGCAAAGACAGCAGGTGGGCATATAATTTAATTTTGCGCATGCATGTATTGTTAATCTTCACTTATGGTGGAGTATTCACTATTTTTGGCCCAACTCTCTCAGGGTGCGTACAAGCTCGGGAACCTTTCTTGCTAGAGAAGGTAACCAAATAATCAGTAACATTGAAAAAAGAATTGCAGATTTCACCTTCATACCTGTAGGTAAGCAGTTCAACAACATAAAAAATATTTTCGATTTTGCATATTGTATGTTTTGGGACCGGAGAGAATTTTGAATCACTTTTTGATGCTATTTTATATAAAGTTACTTATATTTTTCAAAAATATAAATGTTTGAAAAATTTATAGAAAAGTACTTCCTGTGCTTGCACAGAGAACGGTGAAGGCCTTCAAGTTCTCCACTATGAAGTGGGCCAGAAGTATGAACCACACTATGATTACTTCGCTGATGAGTATAATACCAAGAACGGGGGCCAACGAGTTGCTACCCTTCTCATGTACCTGTAAGGAAATCTTTTTGCATGACTCTCCGTTTAATCTCTTTTGTGATTAAGGCTTGGATGTTGTTGTTGTTGATAGTACATTTTATAATATTTTTTTACTAAATTTGGAACTCTGATTGTGCGGAAAGGAAAATGTTTTTTATGCTTAGTTTGGGAATGAAAAATACGCAGAACAGATTTGATTATAAAAAAAATCTTCACGTGTTTAGATATTTTAGCTTTTATATACTACTAAATAGAATGGATTTGGATAAATATCAAGGATAGAGCCAGCATCTAGTAGCAGTGGTGTCAATAGAGAAAAATAATATTACAGAGTACTACGTATATAATAATGTGTAGGTATACAAAGCAAAATAGCAAAAATTGTCATTTATAGAATTAAAATGCTAATTCACAATTGTCCATGGCGCATTTTCATAGTTTGACAATGTTGTACTTTTTTCCTTTGACAACAACACTTTAGAATATATCTTATTCAATAAGATTATATTTTTAGCTCCGATTTTATGTGTTGATTCATATTAGCTGACCCCAAACTCTTTTAGGATTAAAGCTCAAATGTTGTTGTTATTAAAAAAGATTTATGGAGCTCGAAGCAACTTTTTATCTTCCCACTCATTTTCCTTCGTTCTAAATTTCATATCTATTTCTTCTTATTTTTCCCTTTCATATTTTCTCGCATTTTCCAAGTTTCAAGCAGCTCCTAAAATCTACATCATATGTTTTACTCCTAATCCTTCTTGCAATTTAGGTCTGATGTTGAAGAAGGAGGAGAGACATTATTCCCTGCTGCAGGGGGGAATATCAGTGCTGTTCCATGGTGGAATGAACTATCTGAATGTGGAAAGCGTGGACTTTCTGTTAAACCAAAGATGGGTGACGCATTGCTTTTCTGGAGCATGAAACCGGATGGGTACCCAGATCAATCGAGTTTGCATGGTCGGTAACTATGCTTTTAGCCCATGTTTGGTTGGGTGTTTCTGAGGGGATGGAAGGGAATGAAGGTTATAAATTTATTACTCCTTACATTGTTATTACATTTGGATAAAACTAAAGATATACTCGGTAATTAGTTATCTAGTCTTCAATTAACAAATATGGATAAATTTATAAAGTGAGAAGCATTGTGTGATAATGAGTAATATAGGACTATGGGAATGGTGTTTTCATCTAGCATACATTGACAATGTCAAGTTGAATTGAACTTGGCTGAATCAACAGATAACAATTATCATTTCTTTTTGGCAGGTTCTTGCCCTGTCATAAAGGGAAACAAGTGGTCAAGTACAAAATGGATGCGTTTTAAAGAATACGAAGTTTAAGCTCTGTTAATGGTAATTTCTTTGTGTGGATTTTACTGCATGAGCCTCTCAAATTGCTGTTCTGAACCTGCTTTACAACTTATCATGTTCAGTACGAAGCTGGCCTAAAAGTATGATGCCGTTTTACATTGTGTCAGGTTGGGAAGTAAATTTTGGTCGAGATATGCTGTTCAATGACCTATACGTCTATAGTTGTATCAAGGGATGCATGTCCTCAACCCTGATTTTTTTACTGCAGCATACCAGCAATAGGGTAGTAAATGTAATGGAAACAGACACCGATACAGATATATATTACTAGGACTAAGAAAAAAAATAAAAATTAAAAAATAAAAAATAAAAAAATAAAAAATAAAAAAAAACATTACTAGGACTAAGATTTACTAGGAAAATGTTACCAACTGAATCCTTTAATGTAATTTATTCTATATAAATCTATACAGTACACATTATAGTTGAAAACATGACATTTGTGGATACTTTGATATTTTTCACACTGTTCAATGGTCACTTTCTTCCCTAGGGATGGACCCGGGCCGGTCCGGTTCCGGTTCCGGGCCGGGCCCGGGCGGGCTTTTTTCCCAGGTACTTGGGCCAGGAACCGGCCTGGGTTGATACCGGGTCCAGGCCTAACCGGGCCGGGCCGGGCCCGGTTCAATGTTAATTTTTTTTGGCTTTCTTGTTATCCCCCGACCCCCCCTCACCCCCACACCCCAAACCCCCCCAAAACACCCAGCCCTACCCTAGGAAATGAAAAAAAATTAAAAAACAAAAAAAAGCCCGGGCCCGGCCCGAACCGCCCGGGCCGGTTCAACAAAAATGGGGCCCGAGACTGGCCCGCCCGACCCGCCAAAACAGGCTAAAAGCCCGGAACCGGCCAACTGGGCCCGGGCTGGTCTGGGCCTGCACAGTAGCTGTCAGGGGGCTGGAGGGGAAAATATTTATAACCAGTTAAGAAATAGTGAAATTTAAAGTTTTGGTCTCCTATATACTACTACTTAGGGGTGGACTCGGGCCGGGCCAACCGGCCCGGAACCGGACCGGCCCGGGAACCGGTTCGTTGGGCGGTTCGGGCCACCCGGCCCGGTGGATTCTCGGTTCGGGCTCGGGCCCTTCAAAAGGTGAACCGGCCTGGCCGGTTCGGGCCCGGGCCGGGCCAATTTTAATTTTTTTTTTGAATTTTTTTTGAGTTTTTGGGTTGGGCTGGTTATTTTGGGCCATTTGAGGTGGTTAGGGTTGGTTTGGGGGTGAGGGGGAGGGGTGGGGGTTAACTAGGAAAAGCCCCCCCAAAAAAAAAAAAAAACCCGAGGCCCGGCCCGGCCCGGACCCGGGGTTTACCCGGGCCGGTTCCGGGCCTCCCCTTCTTGAACCGAGGCCCGGCCCGGCCCAGGCCCGAACCGGGCCCGAACCGGGCCCGAACCGGCCCGAGTCCACTCCTACTACTACTACGTATAAATTTTTTAAACTCCTTCCCCCCTAATCTGATGTTTCTAGCTTAGACACTCCTCCTGCTAATCAATTGCATTTCAACCAAACATTATGTAATTAAAAGTAGCTTTATGCCACTGAGAATCGAGAGATAAGGGCGAGTAAAGTTTAATTTAAACACATATAAGAAAAAAAGGAACAACAAAAACAAACAAACTGCTTTGTATATATATATATATATATACAATCTTTTCATGTATGTGCTAGGTCGGGATGGACTCGGGCCGGGTTAACCAGCCCGTAACTGGCCCAAACTGGTACTGTTACGGCCTAGCCTGGTACCCGGTTCATGTGCTTGGTTCCGGCCACCTGGCCCGGCAATGTAGTCTGTAGAGGGGTGTTTGCCGGGCCTCCCAAATCACGAACCGGCCCAGCCGGTTCGGGCACGGTCCGGGCCATTTTTTTTTCAAAATTTTTAAAAGGTAAATCGGTTGGCCTGGATGTTTTGGAAGGGTTTGGGGTGTGGGGGTGGGGGTAGGAAGTAATTAGAAAATAAAAAAAAATAGGGTACCCGGCCTGGCCCGGTACCCGCTAGGTGGCCCGGGCCGGTTCTGGGCCTCAAGATTCCAAAAAAAAGCCCGGTCAAGCTCGGCGTGGACTATGTGCTAGGGGTGGACTCGGGCCGGGCCAACCGGCCCGGAACCGGACCGGCCCGCCACTGTGCGGGCCCGGACCGGCCCGGGAACCGGTTCGTTGGGCGGTTCGGGCCACCCGGCCCGGTGGATTCTCGGTTCGGGCTCGGGCCCTTCAAAAGGTGAACCGGCCCGGCCGGTTCGGGCCCGGGCCGGGCCAATTTTATTTTTTTTTTTGAATTTTTTTTGAGTTTTTGGGTTGGGCTGGTTATTTTGGGCCATTTGAGGTGGTTAGGGTTGGTTTGGGGGTGAGGGGGAGGGGTGGGGGTTAACTAGGAAAAGCCCCCAAAAAAAAAAAAAATACCCGAGGCCCGGCCCGGCCCGGACCCGGGGTTTACCCGGGCCGGTTCCGAGCCTCCCCTTCTTGAACCGAGGCCCGGCCGGGCCCAGGCCCGAACCGGGCCCGAACCGGCCCGAGTCCACTCCTATGTGCTCTATGATACGCCAATCCCTTGCATTGCATGATAAACTCAATAACTTGATGACTTGTACAATATTTTAAAGAAACAATTCTGATATGTAACCTGTAACCACATCGCTTTTTACGCATCAATAGAAGTTCTTCCAAAATCCAAATACATAAAATGAAGGGAACTTTCACGTCCTGAAACACAAGTAAGTAACGTTTTTGGTAAAACTAATGGTGAATCTTTTTATGTAGAGCCGCTGCAAGTTTTGCTGAATTTTAGTACTTCATTAGGGAAGTAAAAATTAAATTTTATAAACTTATACACATATATAATCTGAAACAAGTGAATGCTAAATTTAAACTTACACTCGAGTAGGCTCAGTCCTGACATTTTTGGACCCAGGGCCATACAAACAAAGTAGGCCTCAGGGATAGCGCGTGTAAATATTTATGATATATTTTGGTTATAAAAATATATAGTAAAAATAAACAATTTTGTCATCCAAATACGAGTATAACACATCACAGAAACAATAAAGCAGTCAATTAGAAAAAAATTATTGAAGTATTTGATATGTGACATTTGAGGATACAATGTATCTAAATCGACAAAATGAAACTAGTACAGAACTGAAAGATATATTGTGCATATACAGAGTAACTTTTTCATATTTTAGAACAAATTGCAAGTTTCTAAATTATGAATCTTATAGTTCAATCCTTCACTTAAATAAGAGAATTAGAGAAAATTAGTGAAATATTATCAATGAATCATAAATATAAATGAGAGAAGTAGACAAGAAGAGCATTTATATGCTAATCCATAATGAATCAAAAGAAAATGTGAAGTATGTTCTCAATGAATTTTAATGTGGGCGTTAAAATGAATTGAAAGTATCTAAAAATATTATAACTTTGATTTTTTCTAATTTTGATAGTTTTTTAATGTATATATAATTAATGTTAATATATATACACACACACACACACATATATACACATAATTAAGAAATTTATGGGGCGTAGTGGAGCAATGGGCCCTGGACGCATGCTCCCCATGCCTCAGGACTAGCCCTATGTTGGGCCGCGGGTATGCGGTGCCAGCAACAGCCAGCCTGCCGGTGCAATCGGACCGCGTGACGCTTCGCTTGTGCTATAAAGGGGAGGAGCGTGCTTCACTTGAGAGTGGCCGTGCACATCAGTGCCTGGAGGGCTCTTACTCTTCAGTCTTCAGAGCATATAAGTAATAATGTAATAGTTAGAGATTACTTTTGTAATTTCCAAAATTCTATTTTATTATAAATATCATGCTAAGGCACCCAAGAGGGTAAGCTATTATTTCCCAAAAACTATTATTTTGTATATGGTATCAGTCGTTAGGGTTTTCTAATACCCTTATCCGACACGGCCGGCCACCCACCCACCACTGCCGCCGCCATAGCTCCTACTCTGGCGCCCACGCAGATGGAGCAGCCTTCGGCAGTAGCTGTCGACGCCTCCGGCTCCAGCACGAACCGTCCGCCTTCTTATCCTTCAGCGACGCCATCTCCAATTAATGTTGCAGACACCGGCAGTCTCCTTCTCGCCAAGGATACCTCATATTCCTACCATGGAATCATACAGATTATTCAATATGCCAGAACCTTTCAGCTGGACTCCAACGCCGCCTGCTGCATCTCAACCCAACTCCTCCATTTTCTCGGAAATTGGAGGGGGGGGGGGGGGGGGCATGGAGTTTTCTGGTCCCACGTTTTCGGGCAGTCACGGTCTTGCTCCCATGCAGCCTCTCAATCATTCATATTTACCAGATTTTTCGCAGGCTCCAATAATGTTATCATCTCTAGCATCTCAACTTGTTGTTTCTACATCGAATGTCAATAATATTGTTACCACTCATTTATCTGCGGTTGAGGACTATTTGCCCTGGCGGACACAATTTGAGTCCGTTTGAGTCCTTTCTAGTATCCCACAGCCTCTTAGGGATAGTAGATGGGTCCATTCAGGCTCCGTCAGCTAATCTGCCAGATTACTCTTCCTGGTTGAAAATTGATCAAACGGTGCGTTCTTGGCTTTTTTCTACTCTTGCTAGAGATGTTTTAATGGAAGTTTATGATCTTAAGCACTCTCAATTAATTTGGGACCGTCTACAAAACCGATTTATGTCTGCCTATTTTTCATGATCCATAGAACTTAAACAATTATTATCTCATGTCAAAAAGAAGGCCAATCAGACTATGGATCAATATTTGTTAGAGATTAAAATCATGGCTGATTCTCTAGCTGCTATCAATTCTCCAGTCAGCAATAAAGATTTAATTGAATTTGCTATTCTTGGTTTGGGACGTGGATATGAGTCTCTCATCACGGCCATATCTTACTTCCCGGGGAATGCTACATTGGAGAGTTTGAGACCTCTTCTTGAAGCACAAGAACAACAGAACAATTTTTTGGAGAATAAGGAATCGACACCGGTGCACCAAGCGTTTGCGGCCGACAACCAAACTGCCTCAGTAGGTTCGGGTCGAGGGGGTGGAGCCGGCTCAGGTCGCGGAAGGGGAGCGCGTGGTGGACGAGGAAATTGGGGTGGCCGAGGACATGGAAACCGTGGATGGGGTGGCCGTGGTTATCCACAATATTATGCTCCACCACCTGGCGCGCAGCAGCCTCCATACCCACAGGGACAACGGTCTCCATGTGGTCCTGCATATTTGGGTGGTCCACGTTCGGTATTGTGTAATGTCAAGTCTGGTAGTAATTATTCTGATTATTTCTCTT